TGGACGAGAGGATGGTCAAGTTCGTCGTGTCTTGTCTGTGCATATTGGCGGTGGGTAGTGATGTGAAATGATGTGTTAGTGATACGTCTCCGTGTGTATCGATGTCGGTGGATGAGGTCGTCGGAGAGGAGTCCGTGTGTTGGGTTGACTCGAACGTACGTGTATCTGTAGATATTGATATAAATATAAAAAAAAGAACTTAAAATAGACTAATAGGTTTATATAGTATGAAATACTAATTTTGTAAAATCAACAAGATGTTAATCGTAACAATAAATATTAAAATCATCAACAACGATCACAAAGCATCACCAGACCTGTAGAACTTATAAAACTTATCAATCTCTAAGTACGAAAAACAGATTCTACTGATCTGAGACACTTTTAAGACATTGACTTCCGCTCTTCCACTGCACTCATGGTTGTGTCGTCTGAAAAAAAATTACATCCTTGTAAATAAATCACATAAAATCACACGCATCATTCCATGTAAATATTGTTATCCAGAACATGTATAAATTCACTAAAACTGAAATCCAAGGGATCTCGGAACAATGTGCGATAGCGTGAGAAACGTTTTTTTTCTCTCAGGGATGCAGCCCTCCTTCACTGCAGGTGCAGGTGCAGTTATGTAACGCACACCTGGTCCAGTGCGATATTGTGGGAAATTTGCGGCAGGGATGAGGTAAAATGATGTGATTTTTAGCCATATTTGTACACAATAAATAATTACTTCATCACACTTACCTAAACATGATAGAATGTCGCCCGAGGTGATCATTTCGATGGTTTTCACCCCCTAATGACAAAATTGTTTGTACTGGCTTTTATTTCCGCATTGTCCTCTTATTAATAATTGTTCAATGCTCACGTCCCTTAAGATGTTTTTCAGCCAGCACTCGACTTCCACATATTTCGTCCCGTAGACACATACATATTCTCCCGAACATGTGGCATAGTCTCTGACAAAGTATTTGCACTCCTGACAAGCGCTGGTAAACAAAACGATGTTGAACCAGAAGTCTCTGTCGAGACTGAAGCTCTACTGGTTTGAACTTATAGCAAATGAAGAGAAAAGTCCTTAACCAGCTGGGATTTGAAACTTTACAACAGCAATAAATATAATAATGATCGTTGATAAAGTCTCTTTATGTTCTTAGTGTGCCAAGATATATTGAAATCAGACCAAATCTGTAGGAATAGTAGCATTTTGAAAGAATTTCACAGAAATTTCAATTTTTAGTAACCACGGCAACACCGTTCATCGAAAATAAAAACCGATACACAGAATTATGTATTTTAGTGTATTCTACTTGTGTGCCAAGATATATTGAAATCAGACCAAATCTGTAGGAATAGTAGCATTTTGAAAGAATTTCACAGAAATTTCAATTTTTAGTAACCACGGCAACACCGTTCATCGAAAATAAAAACCGATACACAGAATTATGTATTTTAGTGTATTCTACTTGTGTGCCAAGTTAAAACGAAAACAGACCAAAACTGTAGGAGGAGTAGCATTTTGAAAGAATTTCACAGAAATTTCTATTTTTAGTAACCACGTCAACACGGCTCTCATCGAAATCAAAAACCGATAGACAGAATTATGTATCTTAGTGTATTCTACTTGTGTGCCAAGTTGTATTGAAATCAGACCAAATTTGTAGGAGGAGTAGCATTTTGAAAAAATTTCACAGAAATTTCTATTTTTAGTAACCACGGCAACACGGTTCATCGAAAATAAAAACCGATACACAGAATCATGTATCTTAGTGTATTCTACTTGTGTGCCAAGTTATATTGAAATTAGACCAAAACTGTAGGAGGAGTAGCATTTTGAAAAATTGTTTACAGACAGACAGACAGACGGACGGACGCATTACTATCGCATAAGCTCTGCTGGTCTCTGACCAGTAGAGCTAAAAATAAACTTAATACAATTGAATTTTCCATTTTAGTGAAACCTTAATTTAATAATTAACGAGTTCAAAATATAACTCTGGTGGACTTTTATCTAAGGGTGTATACTGGTCAATGTGGTCATCCTTTCTTTTCACTTGTGATTTTATTCACTTATCAACTGATTACACTGATTAAAATTGATGTACAGTGCATGCAATCATAATAAGAGTCACTGAATTTGATCAGAAATGTGTTAATTGATCGTTAGTCTGAACTGATTGTAAAAATGTCATCGGAATAATTTCTGTGGCATGTTTCAATTACAGATACACTTTTTTAATTTCACGCGCAGTACGGTTAAGGCAACCCATAGAAAAATTATGGTAATGAGGTCATAATGAGGTTTGACGTCATGACAGTTGCTCCGCCCTGATTGATCCTTATAAAGAAATAGAGCTCAAAATAACTATTTACCGATATTTGCAATAATTTGTAACAAACGGCAATATTTCCATGTTTAAATAAATAATTATTAGTGATTTTCTCCTGTATAGAATAGCATATTTTTTTAAATAATTCTCTTTCTTATGTGCCGTTTGGCTGCATTCGGCTTCAGCCAAGCGCTTGCACTCGATGACACGGAATGTTGTTTACATCTAAAAACGTGGCGACATCAGCTGAGATATGCAGTGGATTTTAATGCAATACCAAGACATTCATTAAAGAAAATAGGGATAAGATAAAAGACAAGGCATTGTTTATCCCTAATACGAGAATATGAGGACATTATTACAGAAGATAATGGAAGACTGAGACGATCTGCACTAGCTCCCTAGATCCATCACTGCAGTACATTCAGCCCAGGTATGTATGCATATGTATGTACAATATGTAAATATGCTTCTGTTAACATCGAAGAAAAAAGACGATCGCGAGTGTGTACGTGTTTATTTAGATGTATTACAGTCAGTGAAAAACTAATGCAGTGCAGTTTGTGTCCCCCCCCCTCATAACAGCCCACATAAAGTTGATCACAGTTTTACTAGAAATTTAAAAATGTAAATGTAGTAAATATAGAGTCGATTAGCTTATTTTCTTTGAGACAACATGTGTAATAAGGGGGTTCAACAGTAATACAAACTTAAACTAAATTAAATTTCAAATTTCATTGTTGCTGTCAATGAGTTGACAATATTTTACTAAAATGTAATGTTCTTGTCTTTTTGACATACAAACATGCTACATAATGTAAAAAAAATTTTGTATCATTATGTTGAAAACAAAGAACCCCCACTTCAGATCTATAGTTTTAAATTTATAGAATATCTAAATTAATGGGGAATAAAATATTTATTTTTTTTAGTTTGATTTCATGTCAAGTCAATTAATTTCTGTAATTTATACATAATTATTTTTTTAAATAATATGATATATAATACTTTTATTATTGTAGCAGTCAAGAGTTCAAGGCTTGAAGAATGAATAAATACAAAATGCATCTTATTTCTCCACAGGGTATGTACACTTAAAAAGCATTTCACATTTTTTAAACCATGCATATGTGCATGATTATATTTATTTTTCATTTTGGTAAAGATGAAAGTATGTTTTTTTTCATATTCTTGATATCGTTTTTGTAAATGTCAGAGGTTTTAATTTCCTGGGCAGAAAAGTTTTGTAGCACAACTTTGTTTCCATTTATATTTTAATATAATTTTAATTTAATAAATTCACTACAGTATACATTTATGTCATGAATTGTTTTGTCAAATGTAATGTGATTTTATTATACAATGTATTTCATTTAGTAATCTCAGCAATAGCATATATAATGTGTTGCAGCTATTCCTAAAGAATTGGACCAATGGATTTATTCAGGCAGCAAGTTAATCCATCATGTAAGGAAAATGGTATGCCTCATATTAGATATTAATTAACCAAATTACCATGCAATATCCCGTGCAAACAATAAATTTTAAATATAACAGTAGAATTGCACACATTTAATTATGCATCCAATGTTTGTGCATGTTTCCATACATTGTTCTGAATTTAATTCAATTTTAAACACCAATTTACTCTCAATTATGGTATGTTACTACATGTATATCCTGATTTTCTCATACATGTATTTTCAGAGTTGATTTCATCCACAAGAACATGAAGTGATGGAAATAATTTGCAGCTGCTCAGTATTCCTTGTACCAGTCTACCTTAATTTGAAAAAGCTGTTTATGAAATAAAATTTCTTCATAAAAAATGATTTGACTTTTTCAGATACATGTACTTACTGTACAGGTTTTGAAAAGGCTATTAAGATATGATAATCTTGACTTGCATATATTTGTGTGGTGGATGTCAATGTCCATCAAGATTTTATTTTCAGCATGTACATTGTGTTTATTTGTTTTTCTTAATAATAGTAACTAAAAAGTACGTAAGGGTTGCCCGCAACCCTGTGTCTCGCCTGCTGTCGCTGTGGTTAGTAAGAAATGATTGTCTGATAAACTGAAGCATTTATTGACATTTCAGAAGGAATAACTCAAAAATACAATAATAAAGAAATGGAACAGCTGACTTAATATCTAATCCCTTGGCGATTATATTGGCATTTATATATATATACATATACCCTGTAAATTCACAAATTATTGTGATGTTTTTATTATTGCGAATATTGCAACGTGTTATGAGTCGCAATAATTTGAACTTGCATTTTGAAATCAAATCCACTGTATATGTATCAAGTCATTCATGCAGAAAATGTAGGTGAAGATTACCTAATTATGGTACTGATATTGTTGGTTACCCATGATGTGTAGACTGACAAATTATCATGCCACTATAAGTTATAGTTGCTGAGATATGGACCTCCACCATAAATTTATGCAAAGTCACTCATGCGGAAAAATGTAGGTCAAGATGACCTAATTCTGGTACAGGCGTTTGTGGTTACCCATGATGTATCCACTGACAAATTATCATGCCACTATAAGTTATAGTTGCTGAGATATGGACCTCCACCATAAATTTATGCAAAGTCACTCATGCGGAAAAATGTAGGTCAAGATGACCTAATTCTGGTACAGGCGTTTGTGGTTACCCATGATGTATCCACTGACTAACTATCATGCCACTATAAGTTATAGTTGCTGAAATATGAACCTCCATTATCAATTTAACCAAAGTCATTCATGCAGAAAAATGTAGGTCAAAATGACCTAATTCTGGTACTGATGTTGTTGGTTACTTATAACCTGTACAATGACAAATCATCATGCCATTATAAGTTATAGATGCTGAGATATGGACCTCCACCAAAAATTTAACCAAAGTCACTCATGCAGAAAAATGTAGGTCAAGATGACCTAATTCTGGTACTGACGTTTGTGGTTACCCATGATGTATCCACTGACTAATTATCATATCCCTATAACTTATAGTTGCTGGAATATAGGTCTTCACCATAAATTATCATGAAAAAACTAAGTCCAACTTAAGGAAAAAATACGGAAAAATTTGAATTTTTTTTTTCAAAATCATACTTGGGATATAAATTTTTATCCATACTGAATATTGTGTCCAAATTTCAAGAAGACTGAATAAAATTTGAGAAAGTTATTGCAGTTTATAAAACTTTGACATTTGGGTTAACCAAAAGTTGGACGCCGACGACGACGACGACGGAATCTATGGTCGCTATGTCTCGCTTCGCGACATTCGTCGCAGGCGAGACAAAAAGGAGATTAAAGGCTCCAAAACAGGAAAGTGGACCAACATTTTATTTTAAAAGGAGAGGGGGGGGGGGTTTGGCAAATTTTCCCAAGTTATTATTTTTTTTAATTTCTTTTCATGTCAATGAAGGACAGGTCTACTAATATTTATTTCCAATAAGATGAAGGACACATTATTTATTTTCCTCTTCACGGAAAATGTCTGACAAGCTAAAAAAATATAATTTATAGGAGGGGGAACACTGGTCTGGGGCAGATTATTTATTTTTTATCCAGTCTGGGACATATTTATTTTCAACATTTTTTAGATCTAACCCCCCCCCCCCCCCCTCTTTTGGAATAAAATGTGTGTAGCGGGCAAACTGGAGCGGATCAAAGATCTAATTTTAGATTGTAACACGTACAACTTAAATCCCATAGGAGTTGAAGGTTTGAAAGAAAGTCATGATAGAATCTTGTATGCGAAAAAAAATTTGTACACAAGTGTATGTACAGTAGTGACAGAGAGGTATAGTTATCGAATTAATTAATGATAGAGGCTATCAATTGACTATTATAATTGAATATTTCCATTTTTATTAACAATCGGCGTTTTAGATTACATGCTGCGGCAAATTTTACACCTACATGTAGCTGCATGTGTGTTTACACATATTCGAGGAAATGCGAAAGGTCTGAAAGACGTCTTATAACATACATAATTCATACATTGTATAAAGAACGAAGTCACAAAATAGAAAGTAAAATCCAGTGTTTTACGCATACTGTTCAATTTAGTAAAAAGATCCCAGCGCAGTCTGCAAATATAGGCCTAGTTAAATCTACGAGGTAAACAAACTTGATCAAGTACTAAAGAGTTATCTCCCATGCTGGGTCAACGATACGTTTGAAAACTATATTTAGAATGACTGTACCAAGATGTCAATTTTTAATCAAAAAGTTCAAGGGCAAGGCGACAATCTAATAAGTAGGTTTTTATTTTAAATTGTTCATTTTACTGTATAGTTTTCCAAAAATGATGCTCATTTCTTTGTAATCCTTTAGGTAATTTATAATTTCCGTTGATATTAGGAAAATACCCTATTTTTCATATACTACTGACTGTTTTAGGTGAATAACTTAAATGTATCGGAAAACCAACTGAATGAGCATCACTTTTGCGAAAGTAAAGATACAAAGGGACAATTTAAAACACTGTGCAGTTATTTGTTTGTTTGCCTTGCCCTTGAACTTTTTGGTTAAATTTAACATTTCATTTGTTGACCTAAAATCGGAGCCCACGTGACTGGAGAGGGTCACATGATCACAAAAATTCCGAGATGAATAGCGATGGACATACCCTTCAAGATAACATAAAGCTATTTTAACTAGAGTGTCTTGCTAAAAAAATAAAATAGTTAAACATTAATTATGTCTTTTTCGGTGACTTTTTATATAAAATGTTGCCTTAACTGTACTGCGCGCTTATAGATTTTTTTTTCTCGTCTCTCTCTCTGATTAGAAAAAATGATGACCAGCACATATTTTACATTTTTTCTCTCGTCGGCAGATTCACTGTATACATTTCAAAATCCTAAATTTATTATAATTCAAATTGAGTACTCATATCACGTGTTTTTCCCCCAATAAAAAGAGAAAATAATCCCTTCAAACTTTACCTATCTCTAAAAAGATGGATAAGTATGTTCATTTATATTTTTTATACACGTTCGATGAATACTTGGGCGCATTGAATTTTTTTTATCAGTGACTTTTTTTTCTTTAAACAGATGTATTTGTCAAGAAATTAAAAATATGACCAGGGAATTGTCACTGGTCATTGAAAAACTGGAGGGACTCCCGTGCCCGTAAGTACTTTTCTCAATTTTTTTTGTTACTAACGAATTTTGTCATTTGTTTAATAGATAATAAAAATATTTTTTTTTGTCTTATTAGTTTTGCGCTCAAATACGAGAAAAGACCAAGGTATGACATTTCTTTTATGAAAGTAAATTTATTATACAAATATTTTTTTAAAAAGAATTAAGACTTTACACTTTTATAGATTTGTCAGTAAAATAAACCAGTATAAAATTAGACTAGAAATGGTTTCATTCAATGCCAGTTAATTCCGTCTACAATATCTCACTTCTGTAATTTTAATATGAAGGCTTTTATAATTACTTTTTTTTTTAATTCTCACATTGAAACGTGTGTTGTTCCAGCTCCCCAGAAAATGAGTAAGTAACATTAGTTTAACATCATTACCTGATATTTAAATCTTTCACATCACTTCATTCAGAAATGTCATTCCGGGTTTTTTTTTCCATTTGGGACAGAAGAGGAGACAATCAAGTTAGTAGATTAATGTGAATAAAACAAGAAAGTACATTTATCGTCATTTTAAATTTACTGAAACATAACTAGAAATACTGTCATTAACCGTCTGAAATTTCCATCTACAATTTCAACTTCTGTAATTTATCGTGAAAACCTTAATCATTTCATTTTTTATATATTCTCATATTGAACCGTGTGTTGTTTCAGCACTCCAGAAAAGGAGTAAGTAACATTATTATTACCATCATTTACTGTTATTTCAACATAGGACGCACCTAATTAAATCGTAAATTTCCCTTTTCTACTGTTTTAGCCAGGCCACAGGTGGGGAGAAAGAGGTCGAGGGGTTAGCAGACTGAATAAACAAGAAAATAGATTCAATCTTAAACTTGATGATATTAGATTTCTTCCAAAAAGATGATGCAACACCTTTTAAAATATTATGCGTATTCCGTTATTTATTCCTTTTTCATTTCATTTTACATTAAGATTTACTTTATTATTATATAAACCTATGATCATGAAGAAAAATGATTTTAAGTTAAATAATCAGAGAAATGCATTTCTTTTATTTCAATAAAGAATATTTTAAATCATTTAAATTTTATAATATATCTCATTCTTTTATCTTTTCTAAACTATTTATTTCCTTTTTTAATTTTATCTCAATCACTTTTTCTTTATAGTGCACCACCAAACGCACCAAAAAGACCAACGTAAATATACTTTAAGTTCTTCATCTTTGTCATTAAAAAAATACCATTCTTATTAGTCGAGTTTAGTCTAATCGAGTTTCTTTTGCTTTTTAGACTTAGAAGGGTTATCACCCTGACGCAGTGAGTAAAATTTTATATTTCGGATACAATTTATTTTACATTTAATCCTTTGCCGTTCATTACATATATATTTCTTATTATTAATTACGTCTCCTTATTGTAGACCGTCCTCCGAAATAGGGGACCCCATTATCATTGAAGCTTTCAGCCTTGCGTATGTATTCGAATTTTTATAATAAAATAAATCATCACAAGTGTTGTAAAACAAAAGAGCGCTTTAACTGCTTTTTCAATATATATGCTGTGGGAATATTAATATTTTTATTGATTAAATTCTTTCTTTCAGAGAGGAGTGGGATGAGGAGTAAGTAATTTTTTTTTTTCAAATTTTTGAACTTGTCTTTTTTCAATATGTAAAATAATCATTTTCAGCGGAAGAAAGTGAACGAATCGTTTTTAGTTTCGTTTTCCAGTAATAATAATTTTCGTATCGAAAATTAATGTTAAACTGATTTCATCAGACCTGCCTACCCTTTTCATTACAAGGGTGTAATTTCTGTTAATTTTTGGCGGAATTTCAGAGGTAAAAGTGTAATCAATTATGTTTTCCCATTTTGTTATTGTGCTATAATACTTTTTTTCAAAACAACCGAAATTGTACATTACTTAACAAAACTGCCATTAATGTTTCTTTTTTCGAATCATCTATACT